AAACAGATGCAGTTGAAGCAGTTTCAGACTCGGAAAATGCCCGTCAAGTGGCTCCATCCGCGAATTCTGAACGCAGCTTCGAAAATCCAAGTTCACTGCATAAGCGCTTGAATGAAAAAAGCCATTTTCCGGGTCGACAGAAAGTTATCAGATAGAAAGTCTTATATACAAATCGTCATCCAAACTTGAAATCAAATGGCCAAGGGGAACTCACAGCAAATTTCGGTAACGTTGTGTCTCTTGTAGAATTGGCTGGTGTCGCATTGGCAAGTGTATTCACCACTGAAATTGTTTGGATTTTATCGATTTCTCATTTTATCATTTCGTCTTAAAAGAGTAAGTCAAGTATTGGTAGTGCGTCCCACATACGACATCTGTGCTCAATTCCCAATATGTCCTCCAGCCATATGTATCTTGGAGGCGCTCCCTCAAAACACCCTCCCCGCCATTGGGGTAAAAAAAGAGTCACTCCGCCTATAGTTCACATCAGAAAACATTACACAGGGTGCAGCCGTTGATGGAAGTTTTACGGCGGAATATTCCTTAGATGTCCCTCCCATAAGCAGAAGCAGGCCTCCTTCACTGCCCCCACCGTCTTCAGAATATGACGTCATCTGCCGCCACCGTCGAGCTCAACGAGGCCTACCGTAATCGCTCCAGTTTGAAGCTGCTACATATTTCTTCAATCGAATTACTGCTGGGTAGCTTCCAAAGGTATGTAGCTTTGACTATACGAGACCCCCTCCCACCAGCCCATCAAATGTCTCAATGGTCTACTATCCGTCGCCGACCTCGTTGAGCTCGAACCCCATGTTCCAGTGGAAAATTCTTCTGAAGCCTTACTGTTCATCCACTTCGGCTGCATTGTGTTCCCTGAGCTGCGCTGCTTACCGTAACCATTGCCGAGAAATTACTATCCATTTTTCACCTCACTAGGAAGACCTGCGATGAACTTTAATTATATAAAAAAAGAATTTCTCACTTTGGACCACGAAGACACTTCTCCTTCTTACGAGCATCGCAGGAATTGGGCACCGATGGATCACAAGTCCCTGGCTTTTGACACTTATCCGACTTGACATTAAGAACGTAACCAGGACTGAAAAAAACACATTAAATATATTATTACATGGACCAGTTTGAAGCTTAGGAAATTAAATGTTCCCAAAAAAAACTATATGCTTCAATTAAAATGAACGTAACAGTTCAGCATAAACGATTAACTGAGGATACCGGTCATTGGGGAATGGCCGAAGAGGTGTAGATCAAATTGTTTCCATCCCTTATGGTTGCCGCGTACCGCGTGGGCCGCTTTACCGATCTTCACTTCGAGGGTCGTATGGTACCCTTCCGCAGCCTTCTATTCCCTGTTCGGTCGCGCTGGTTCAACTGTTGGGAGGATGGAAACGTTTAGGTATGGCGCAATGAGCGACCTGCCTTCTTAAGCCTCAGGATAGCATCGTGGGGATGGACCCGTCCCTCTGGGGGAAGGATAGCATACAGCCCCAAGTCCGGACGCAGCGAATTCGTCGGGAGTGCCACACGTTCACCTTATCGTGCTGAAGGATGAGACCGGATTGGCTGGGCATTAGCCGATCCTCTGACACGAGATTCCCCACCCCTACCTCTTCTCTTAGGCCATCGTGACTGCAATCCATAAAAGGAACACAAAAATGCCAGTATTTCTTACCATTAGTTTCCCGTCTGAGCTTTATTTTTCCCCTCCCCACTTTTTTTTTAGCTAGGGTCTCCATACGTCTGAAGCCTTTCTCCAAATTTCACCTACTTTAATTCCGAAGATAGAGAATAACAACACGCACCTGCACTGGCACACAGCATCTCCTCCAGGTCCCCGAATACATTTCGCATTTGGACCACAGCTCGAAGGATTCGCAGGATCGCACTCGTCATTCGATTCAGACAGGTCTTGAGGAGGTGAGCCGATTTCTGAAGTTTTTCTTTTTTGAAAAAATTCATAAGAAATTCGAGATCAGGAAACTGACTGCATGCGCCGGTATGAGTGTCTCGCCAGCCGAGGTCAGCTGGGCAAGTACAGCGCCAGTTGCCAAACGGTGTGCGGTGCGCTCACAGATCTCCGGATCTGGACACGAAGTGGCAATTTCCGGATTGCAAACATCACCACCGCAAGCCTAAAATCGAGTTTCTGGATAAAAATACGTGAAATCTGTGAGGGAACAGTGTTGAAGAAGTTCCATAAGAATGCTGGGTTGAGCTAAACTTTTGCCCCAGGCGGGACTCGAACCCGCACCTCTCGCTTACTACAAATTCGGGGCCGCCAATTCGTCGAAACAATCAAAGACAATTCAAAGAAGTGAGGAGGAAATAGTCTGAAGACGCCAAGAGCAAGGAAAAAATGTGGCAGAATACGCAAGAGCAAGAAAAAAATGTGGCAGATTGCGCTAATTGGTGGGCGGGTCCTCAACGTTCCGCCCATGTCGGACGAGTTGTAACGGTTGTGTCATGCAAGGTAAACTCAACGTCAATAAACTCCCCGTAACGAGAGAGCGGACTTTCGCAAAGCTTTTGTGAATATAATGATAATTCCCTTTGCTTTTTCCTTCCCTATTCTATGAAAGCGACCTTAGTGAGTGAGAATACGACCCGTTCTGTAAGAAAAGTATGTTATTGATCGCGCGCCGACAAATTTCGAACGAAAGGGGTTTCTTTTCCAGCTCCATGAGCGAAGAGGCATAAATCGACCATAGCCGTGCTCAGATAATGGAGGAAAGGAAGTTAGTTTTTGCAAGAAAACGAGTTGACAAAATATTGAGGGTACGAGTAAGGGAGGGGAGGAGGGACGGGCTGTTTCATTTTCTTTAAAATGAAAGTAAGATCTGTAAAGCTCAATTTTTGAAAGGTACAAGCTCATGTTTCTAGACTATTCAGAAAAGATCAAAAACTAACTTTAGTGACGGGATGCTGTTCAAAACCATCGGGACATCCGCAGGTGTATTGACCGTTCTTCATCATGCAAACCTGGTTGAGAGCACGATCACAACCGGCATGAGACGATGGATCGCATGGTCCTGAAACGAATATGTGGTGTACGGTAACACATGTGGTAATACATATTATCGAACTTCGAATGAAACTTTCTTTTATTTTATGTGGCAAATCGACGCCAAGGGTAGAAATGCAAAGCATGGAAAACAAACTTAAAGCAACAGTTCAGGGAGGGTCCGAAAATTTCAATGCCACTACTACTGAGGGATACACGAGCCCTAGTGAAGAACATATGCAGTGGAAATAATAAACGAACTTACCTCAGAAACTCAAAAACAGGGTGGAAAGTCCCTCAAACATGGGTGTTCTTGGGGATTTCCCCAATCCCGCCCCCTTGCCGGCCGTCATTGGACGCGTCGGCAATCGTGCTCGTTTTGGGACCACAGGGAAAATTGATTGAAAAATGGAGCGCGTTTACAGCGGGCACGTTCAGACAACTCGTCCAACGTGCGTCTTTATCCATTGCTGAGCGGCAGAGGGAGAGTACCTGTCTAAGACCCTCCCCGACGTTTTTTTCCAGTTTTTCATACATTAATCGTCTGGTTTTCATCTACAACTTCATTATTGGTGGTTTTTTCCCGCGAAACCGTTCCTGAACTGTTGCTTTAAGCGAAACTGACTGGCTTGTGGAAGTGGGCATAGCGCCTACTGCCCAGTTAAGCCTATTTATTATAACTTTACATTTCAGGTTGCTATAAGATATAAAGACCAGTCAAAGAGAGGGACTCTTTTTCGTCGGCTCTGTTGCCTATGACCGCCAGTTCTTCTACTGAGTCACCCTCCACTCAACCATAAGTCGCCCAAAGTTACCAAGTAATCAATAGTTTCGATGTTCAATCGATTTATGGTTCAGAATGGAATGCCTCACCACCAGACGGCTTCGGGGTTTCAGTCTGAGGGCATGTCACTCGCTGGATGGCACTTCGAAGCCTGGTGTTGAGATCCTCGAACGCGTTCACGTGGAATGTTCGGTCCTTGGAACCAGTGATCTAAAAGCAAAAGTACCACTTAACACCTTTTTAGATTTAATATGTTTCACGTTATGCTAAAAATGTTAAAAATCTAAGTCAAAAAGTTAAAGTGAAAGCTGAATCAATCCAGTAACATATTTCACAAGTATGTATTTGATGGTTCATTGGACCATAAAACGAGTACCGTGCGCGAAC